TGCTGTAACTTACAGACAAGTCTAAAGAACTTTGAAATGTCATTGCTGGACCCGGGATCCCAGCATATAGTTGTGTCACAATCATTTGAGATTCAGGCCCTCTTGTTTGTGATGTGGTCTCTGCCTGATGGGAGGTTTGTGTGTCTGCAGAAGTAAAGCGTTCCAGGGTGAAACCAAGAGCAGTATGGCAGGTGTGTGGTTAACAGCTTGTGTGTGTGTGTGTGTGTGTGTGTGTGTGTGGCACAGACTGGAGGTGCTCAGGGGATTGTGAGCGAGCCCTGGAAGGGTGCTTGGTGGACATCACTCCACCACAAAGCAAATACCCACGTTCTGGTTGTGCAGTAGGAAAGCTCGGGGAAGAAGTCAACTCCTTGTGACTTAGATTAGAAAAGCAATTCACCGGCAGGTTGCAGGGGTGCTTTGAAGAAGAAGCAGGTCTCTGCAAAGAACAGGAAGGAGTGTCTCTCTGGGGACCTAGGAAGCAGGTTCTCTTGAGCAGTTGTTTCACTTCGCAGAAAAAGGTGAATCAGCTCTGGCCTCGCGTCTTCCCCCCGCCCCGAGAGGAGGATTCTTGCAGAATGAATCTGGTTGGTTGGATCTGGGTCCCACCTTGCTCCAGGGAGGGCAGGCACGTTTGTTGATGAAATGGAAATAGGTTGCTGTTGCTGGCTGCGGAAGGGCTGGCTGTTGATGTCAGCCATGACTTGTTGCTTGATGCTTGAAGTTGGGCAATGCCACAAGCCAGTTAGTGTCTCCCTGAGTGTGTAAGGCGAGCTGGCGATGTGAAGAAAGCTACTTGGAGCTGATGAGCTTGGTTGAGTTCACTTTCCTTCAAGGGTCCCCGTTTCTCCTCTAAACAAATCAGACAGCCTAGAGGGTCTCTGAGTTCCCTGTCAATCTTTCTAGACTAAACACCTGGGAAGATAATCTTGGGATGAAAAAAGTTAATTGAACATGTACCTGCAATCGATGATGAGAGCGGTCTTTGGAGCGCAGGTCCAGATATTTCCCTATAATTTCAAATTGATTTCTAAATCCCATAAAGAGCGGGAGAGGCAGGCTGGTATCTTCTCAGTTGCTTGTAGGGTTTCTGATGCTAGAGAAGAGTGTGGCATCAATGGGAGGGAGCATTGGAGATGCCCATGAGGAGCTGGGGTGACATCTCCTGGAGGCAGATGCTACAATGATAGCCCAGCACACCCAGAAACACAGCACACGGGGGCTGCCCTGCTGCACAACTCTAGGGGCCTGGTGGGGTGGGCGACTGCACAAGGGATACCATGTGAATGCTGCCCACCCCCACCTCCAAGCTGTACAGTATGGCATCTGTGTCCCAGAGACCAGTGCTGTGTGAATACTTAGCATCCCTAGGGAGACAGGGTATAGACCCTGGGAGAGATAAGGAAAGACACTCCTGTTTTGGCAGGTGCCTGGAGTTGGTTATTCTCTCCCCTCTCCTCTCTGAGCTGAGTTCTGCTCATCCCTTGTTCGTGATGCAGCTCCATAGTAGTCAGAGTATTAATAATGGTGGGAAGCATTTCTGTAGAGCCTGTGAATGCTGGATGCTGTCTGAACACCCACCATGCTCACCCATTATTTGAGTTGATTTTGCAGTCATTGTTAGAGGTTGGCACTGTCGTTGGCCCTATCCAGACTCCAAGTGCTCTCTTGTCTCTGGGAAGCTTGAGGGGAACTCAGAAAGCAAGAATGTGGGGATTTGCTTAGGAGGGGATTATTCTTGCATAAGCACATGGAGTAAAATGGAAAGTTAGACATACATGATGAACACAGCTAGATAAGTAGTAATAAAATAGAGAGACTTACCAGGTAGGTCTTGTTACTATCTGCCCTTTATAGACTTGGTGATGGGGGCTCTGAGATGTCCATCTATGTGCCTGAGAACACAGTGCCAAGAAGGAGAGAGTAGCCGTGCTTGTCTGTTAGCCTGACTGCTCATTCATACAACAGAGGTGACCGTGTTTTGGTCTGGCCTAAGAACAATGACTGCCCGATACCGGGCCTGCATCTGCAGGAGTTCCAGGTCCCAGCTCTGGGTGTGTTTGGTGGTTGTCCTGTTTCTGGCTCCTGCTTGTCTCTGTCCCACAAGACATCTCCAAGCTGGGCCTGCCTCTGGCCACCTGACCTTGCTGCGTGGGTCCTGTTTCTGGCTCCTTGTTTCTGTCCCACAAGACATCTCCATGCTGGGCCTGCCTCTGGCCACGTGACCTTGCTGCGTGGGTCTTCTCTGTGCTGTGCTCGAATGATCCATTGGTTTCTGCCTCCTGCAGGAAGGAGCAGCATGGAAGGTTTTGCTTATTTGAGTGAGGCGCTGAGAATGGTGAGGGTAATGATAGGAAGTAGTGTCCCACAATTCCTGTCTGTATCAGTGAACAGGTGTGGACAACACCCACGGTGATCATGTGAGGCAGGTGCAGAGATGAGCTTAGGTGCAGAGGTGAGCTCAGGCATAGATTCCACGGCAAGCCTCATGCTGCCCAGACCTCTGCCTGTTAGACTGGCCTCTGCTGATCTGGGGATAGGGTTGTGCATTCCTGGAGGATTGATCTGAATCACAAATAGAAGGCCCCTCATGGCTTGGAGCTGATGGCTTGGAGCTGATGGCTTGGCCTTTTTTTTTTTTTTTTTTTGACAGGCAGAGTGGACAGTGAGAGAGACAGAGAGAAAGGTCTTCCTTTTGCCATTGGCTCACCCTCCAATGGCTGCCGCGGCCAGCGCACTGCGCTGATCCGAAGGCAGGAGCCAGGTGCTTCTCCTGGTCTCCCATGGGGTGCAGGGCCCAAGCACTTGGGCCATCCTCCACTGCACTCCTGGGCCACAGCAGAGAGCTGGCCTGGAAGAGGGGCAACCGGGACAGAATCTGGCGCCCCGACCGGGACTAGAACCTGGGGTGCTGGCGCCACAGGTGGAGGATTAGCCTATTGAGCCGTGGCACCGGCGGCCTTTTGCACTGTGTTACTGTCACTTGCCTACTTTTTCATTTAAAAAAAAAAAGTCCACCTCCTCTTAGCTCTTAATCTTCACTCCATCCTTATCTACCTTCTGCCTCTTTCTGTGTGCCAGCTCTGTTATGCTCCTACAATTGTATATCTTCACATATTTATTTGTTTTGAATAGGCAACAGAAGCACGAGAAAATGAATCACGGTGTGTCTACCAAGCATTCCCCTTCTAGCCTCCTTTCCTGGAGGAACCGCTCTTTCTTGTACCCTCTTTTGTCTATGTGTGTGTTAGGTTAGCACTTTCAAAATAGCCTCGTTTACAGGCCAAAGTAGGAAGCTCTGGATAGCTTCATACCAACGTCAGAGTTCATTCTAATTCACGTCTAAACTTGGGGCCCACGTCTTGTCACCCCCGGGTCTGTAACATGTTTTCATGTGTGTTTGTCTCCCCGCACCAGATGGTAAACCTCATGGGACCAGGAGTTTTCCTTTTTTTGTGCACTTCTGTGTCTCGGGCCTGGCCCACAGAAAAGCTCTCAGCGAAGAAGAAATGGACCACACTCTTCACAGACGACAGCCGATTCTGCTGCTCTGCCCCTGCCTTCCTCATTCAATGCTACGCTTTTGAAATGGTTGTGGTGCGTGTGAACCACCTGTGTTTCCAACAGCTGAGTTGAGTGTGCATCCGTGGGGAGGCCAGTGTGGCCAGTCCTTCTCTGATGGCCATCTAGGTTGTTCGCACGGCAAGCGCATACCCCAGGCATTCTTGCCTGGATCTGTTTCCTGCAGCGAGAACCTACAGGAAGTTTCCTCCATATGAAAATACCCCTCCCAAGGTTGTGCTGCTGTTTAGGTAGACATTGCCTGACTTTGCTTGGATGCCCAGGAAGGAATCACAGTGCCCATGGGGCAGGGATCTGATTTTTTTTTTTTTTTGACAGGCAGAGTGGATAGTGAGAGAAAGAGACAGAGAGAAAGGTCTTCCTTTGCCATTGGTTCACCCTCCAATGGCCGCCGCTGCCAGTGTGCTGCGGCCGGCGCACCGCGCTGATCTGAAGGCAGGAGCCAGGTGCTTCTCCTGGTCTCCCATCGGGTGCAGGGCCCAAGCACCTGGGCCATCCTCCACTGCACTCCCTGGCCACAGCAGAGAGCTGGCCTGGAAGAGGGGCAACCGGGACAGAATCTGGCGCCCCGACCAGGACTAGAACCCGGTGTGCCGGCGCCACTAGGTGGAGGATTAGCCTATTGAGCCGCGATGCCAGCCTCTTTTGGTTGTTACCCTTGGGAGCAGTGCACCCACTTTCTTGTCTCTGTAGAACTCCAGCAGTGGACGAAGGGACCACACGCTGTCTGGGCTTCTTGAAGCTTCTCCTACTTCCTGTGGTCCCCAACAGCCTGCTCTTTGTGTGCTAACCTGTTAAATTTGCTCTAGGATATGGATTTCTCAGCATGACACAACCACATTAGTTTTGCTGTTGGAAGTCACCATAGGATGCTAGTTTGGGCACAGTTGCCACTTAGGTATGAGACATCGAAACAAGAGGGTGGGGGGACACTCAGGAGTGGGAGCTGCTGGTTGCAAGAGAGCAGTTCTCTCCTCTGACTTAGCTCCCGCCTCCTCTCTGTGGAGTTATCCACCTCCCTAGCATGAACAGGCCCAGCTGACGTTTCTGTGCCTACTGGATGCCAGGTGCTTGGTCCAAGATTTCATATAACTTTCTTAAGAGAGTGCAAAAAAGGAAAAGAAAAAAGATACCAGCCACATCTTATAGAGGGTATTACAGAGGCTGAGAGGTAGGAGGACTTGCCAGAGTAGGCTTTTAAAAGACACAAAGAAGCCCAACTCACTTCCTGTTTAAGACTCTGCACAGTGGAGCCCTCCCATACCGCCAACAAAATCCTAAATCCACTTTCTTCCTCTTGCATCTTGCACGGGTTGGATGAGGTTTTTAAAATTTTATTTGAGAGGGAGAGGAAGGGAAGGAAGGTAGGAAGGGGAGGAGGAGGAGAGGGAGAGTGGGAGGGAGAAGAGCGCTTCCATCTGCTGGTTCAGTCTTCAGATGCCCACAGCAGTGAGGGCTGGCCCAGGCCCATGCCCGTGCTGGGGGCTGGGAGCACAGTGCAAGCTTCCCACTGCCTGACAGTTACTCAAGCACTTCTGATGCCAGCTCTGCCTCCCATGGTGCATGGTGGCAGGAATCTGGAGTCGGGAGCCCAGGCATTCCAGAGTGGGTTGTGGGCACCTTAACTGGCATCCTACCTCCTCAGCCAAGCACCCACCCGGTTAAGTAAGGCCTACTTGGCCTGCAAGGTGTTCTAAATTAGTTCCCAACCTTAAAAGTCAGGAGATACTACATAGCATTCTGGAATTAAAAAAACATTATCTTGAAATTTGAAAGGCATTGGTGATGTTGCCTGTTGAAATGGCAAGAACCAGATAGAAGAGAGTCGTGGTGGGGTGGGTACCTCCAGATTTCCACTGTACCTGCCCAGACCGCTTCACTCGACTGTACCCGCCCAGACCACTTCACTCGACTGTACATGCCCAGACCACTTCACTGTCTCTCCCAGACCACTTCACTCAACTGTACCCGCCCAGACCCCTTCACTCGACTGTACCTGCCCAGACCACTTCACTCGACTGTACCTGCCCAGACCACTTCACTGTCTCTCCCAGACTGCTTCACTCGACAGTACCCACCCAGACCACTTCACTAGACTGTACCTGCCCAGACCACTTCACTGTCTCTCCCAGACCGCTTCACTCGACTGTACCCACCCAGACCACTTCACTTGACTGTACCTGCCCAGACCACTTCACTCGACTGTACCCACCCAGACCACTTCACTTGACTGTACCTGCCCAGACCCCTTCACTCGACTGTACCCACCCAGACTGCTTCACTCCACAGTACCTGCCCAGACCCCTTCACTCGACTGTACCTGCCCAGACCCTCTTCACTCCACTGTATCCGCCCAGACCTCTTCACTCGGCTGTACCTGCCCAGACCACTTCACTTGCTTACGTCACAGGCCTGGCCCCTGTCACACTTGGCTTTAAGGCATTCACTCTCAAGTTTCTTATCCATTTTCCCTCAGAATGGGGAGTAGCAGGCAATTGGAGTAGTGAAGAATGAGACATCCAAATGGTTATTAAATAATGTGTGTAACTGTCCAGGTTTACCATACAAATAGCAGCTGTCTGAGGCAGAGCAAGTGAGAACCCACATCACGGATCACGTGGACTCAGAATGTCAGTGGCTTTGTATAACTGTGTCTTCCCTGCCGCTTTGCATGCTAAAACTTATTTAAAGTAGAGTGCTGGCCAAGAAGGAATTTCTTGAAATGATTCCTTTAAGAGACGCATGATAGTGGATGGAATTTTTACCAATGATTATTTTAATTGATTAACGCTCATAACCTACATACATGTCATTGATTAATACTTATAACTTACATACCTGTCATTACTCCTTACAGTCCGGTCTCAGAACCATGTCAATGTCAGAGAAACACACTTTTAATAGGTATTAAAAAAACTTGAACTCTGTTTTCTTGTGTCTTCAATAACGTTAATGGGGCTCTAATTTATATTGCACTTTAAATAACAGTTCTTAAAGTTGCCTTCCCTTCCCACTTCTACTTGTCCTGCCCTATGCGGTGGGCTGACAAATGGCTCCCTTAACGGTCAGTGTCCTAATCCCGAACCTGCATGATTGCTTCCTTGTATGGCAGAGGGACCTTGCAGAGGTGATGGAGTTAGGGCTTTTGAGGCGGGGCGGTTGGCCTGGATTCTGCGGGTGAACCTGATAATAGAATACCAAATGTCCTCATAAGGGGGAGATCAGAGTACAGTTCCACTATGGGAGAAGACGGCAATGTGACGACTGACGAGACACGCAGTACGTTGTGTTTGGAAGGTGGAGGAAGGGGCTGGGAACCGAGGATTGTAAATCCCCTAGGAAGAATACCTCTGCAGATACCACGATCTCAGTCCAACTCAACGGAGTTAGGACTCCTGACATCTAGAACTAAGAGAAAATAAACGTCTGTTGGGTTAAGCCACCAAGTTTCTTCCATAGGGAACTAACATGTCAGCATAACTGGCCCATCCTTGGTTTCCTTACTTGATTATTAGTGAGGCAACACCCACCGGCAGCCAGGACAGTAAACCATGTTCTTTCTGTATTCAAGATGCTTTCCCCCGGGGAGGCACCTAAAAATAGAGCAGAAGAGAGAGCGTGGGCGTGCAGCTGTGGTCTTTTACACACAGCACCTTTGGGAGAACAGCAAGTCAGCAGAACCGCATTCTGCCTGAAGCATTGACTCCTCTCCTTCGTCATTCGATGTCTTTGCTCTCCTAACTGTGGTCTTGGCGGCAGTGGCCCACCCAAACTAGTCCCTAGACTTTCCTTGGACATGGTTCTAGCCGGACTACATGTGGCTCTGCCTCTAATTACCGTGCACTTCCTTTGCATGGGGTTGTACTCATTCCTGTGTCATGAGTATAAAGTGGGAGTCTCATTGCCACGGCAACCAGAAGTGGGAGCATGTGCGATGTCAGCCCTGTCCAAGAGGCAGAATACTTGGAATACTCCCACCATGTTCCTGGTTTTCCTGCATAGCCAACATACTGCAAACTCCTCTGTGGTCATCCATGTTCATCTGTTTAAATTAACATTTTTTTTTGACAGGCAGAGTGGACAGTGAGAGAGAGAGACAGAGAGAAAGGTCTTCCTTTGCCGTTGGTTCACCCTCCAATGGCCGCCACGGCTGGCGCGCTGCGGCCAGTGCACCGCGCTGATCCGATGGCAGGAGCCAGGAGCCAGGTGCTTTTCCTGGTCTCCCATGGGGTGCAGGGCCCAAGCACCTGGGCCATCCTCCACTGCACTCCCTGGCCACAGCAGAGAGCTGGCCTGGAAGAGGGGCAACCGGGACAGAATCCGGTGCCCCAACTGGAACTAGAACCCGGTGTGCCGGCGCGCAGGCGGAGGATTAGCCTAGTGAGCCACGGCGCCGGCCCTCTTTAAATTAACATTTTTATCAGTTCTGCAGAGTTGTTTCCTAATTCACTAACTTGATTCTTTAATTTCCTGCATCTAACCCCAGTGCCTTTTCCTTTTTTATGTGTACAACCACCTGAAGCCCCTCCGTGATGACCACTGCTTCAGCCTCTTCCACCTGGGGTTCTCTCTTTCTTCTGCTTACCTCTTGTCCACTCCTACTTCCTCCATTGGAGTCCAGGATTTCTGTTTCTGTTCACCATCTGGGCCAAACCAATCGACAGTGGATGAAGGGTCATATTCCTCATGCAAGGAGACACATGGAGGCCTCCAAACAGCGTGGTTCCAATTTTTTGTTGACTACTTTCTATGTTCTTTCCCCTCAAACATGCATCAAGAATAGTGACTCTTAATGTCCTTAATTGTCAGTTGCTGCACACTCAGTGGTGATAGGCCAGATGTTTCTATTTTTTAATGTTTAACAGTTTATTTAAAACAATGTTGAATTTTTATATGAATACAGGTGTTCCATAGAAGCCACAAAATTTCCGCCCGTTGGGTTATTCTGGTTCATAGTTGTGCTCTCTTTAACCATTGCATGATCTTAAACATGAATGAGTTGTCAACTTTTAAAATAAGATTATTTTACACAAAAGCCCAAGTTCTGGATTGTCACGAGACACTGGAAGGCCTGGCACCCTTGTGTCTTTATGGCTCCTGGCAGACGGCTGGAGTTGAGTAGTTATTTCTTCCTGGGCTGAAGCAGCAACTTTGGTTCATCTCAGCTTCTCTGTACCCACCCAGCTTCGCTCAGTTTTGTCACCTGCCTGATTTCTGTAGCACCTGATTTTGCAACTTCCTTTGTGGAGTTCCAGGCTCACAGGGACTAAGCACCTGCAGATGTCCGCACTGACCCCTTCCCTCACTGACCCACCTGGCCCACGAATGTTCCTTTTCCGCATCTTGAAGGGGCCATCCGTCCACAGAAGCCATTCCTGGCGAGATCAGCTCTCCCTGGGAGGAAGCTCCTCCACAGACTGGCGTAGCTGTTCCCTCTCTGAACGTCTCCCACCCCTGCTCAGACATCTCCTGCAAGGTGACTCTCTGGACTCTTCTGTCCCTCCCAGACTTGATTTCTGCTGCATTTCCAAGGGCTCAGGCCTTGAAAGCACCTTCAACCCAAACTTCGCACTGTGCTGATTATCAAGCACTGGGAACCCTGGTGCCTCCTCCCTCTGTAATTCATTATCTTGTTATTTTAAGCCACTTGAAGGCTCTTGTGTGGTGTGTGAGGCTCCCTTGGTAAGACCCAGTGGAAGCCCTGTTAGTTTCTATACTGATTATGGTGTTGATGTTGAGGGGGGCATTGATGGCTTCCTTTCACAGGTAAACTGTTACGTCAGCATAAATGATTTTTTTAAATAGATGGGTGCTTTTTAAAAAAAGATTTATTTATTCTAAAGTCAGTCACACACACACACACACACACACACAGAGAGAGAGAGAGAGAGAGAGAGAGAGATCTTCCATCTGCTGGTTCACTCCCCAGCTGGCCATGATGGCTGGAGCTGGGCCAGTCCAAAGCCAGGAGCCAGGAGCTTCTTCCAAGTCTTCCCACATGGGTGCAGGGGCCCAAGGACTTGGGCCATCTTCTACTGAGTTCCCAGGTCGTAGCAGAGAGCTGAATTGGGAGTGAAACAGCCGGGTCTCACACTGGTGCCCATATGGGATGCTGGCACTGCAGGCGGCACCCTTACCCGCTATGCCACAGCACCAGCCCCAGCATAAATAATTAACAATAATCGCTACATCCAATTCTAATCAAAGGTGGGTATTTCCTGGCTTATACTGAGTAGATGGAGGTTCAGAGAAGTTCAGCGTCCCACAGGCACTTGTGAGGGACCTTGTGTTTGCCTCCCCAGAATTAATTCCTCTGTCTTCTGGTAACTGCCATAATTTGCTTTTTTGATATTCGCTGCTACCCATGCAGTTCCTGTCCTTTGGGTAAAGTGGACCATGTGACTCAGGTTCACACCAATCATCACAGTCCTCGTTCCCTGGCCACAGTGATTGTTTGTTAATCAGCATAAATCACAATGAAAGACCAGGGACTTGGAGGAGATTGGGCTGGAAGCTATCTAGAGACCTTTTCTCCATTACCCAGGATGTGGCGAGGCGTTCCGGGAACCCCTGGAATTGTTGGCATGTTCCCATCTTCTGCCCATAAAGGGGCACCAGCCATAGATGATTGTAGCATAGGGATTGCAGAGTAGAGGCTTGGAAAAGAACCACATCTGATGGCCTCAGTGATCCACCAAGTGAAAGTAATCCTGATGCTTTCTTAGCCGCTGGTCATTCCAATCACATTTGCTAAAATTATTTATTATTTTTTAAAAGATTTTATTTATTTATTTGAGAGGTAGAGTTAAAGAGAGAAGGAGAGACAAAGAGTAAGATCTTCTATCCACTGGTTCACTCCCCAAAATACCACAGTGGCTAGAGCTGCACCACTGAAGCCAGGAGCCAGGAGCTTCTTCCAGGTCTCCCATGCGGGTGCAGGGGCCCAAGGACTTGGGCCATCCTCCACTGCTTTCCCAGGCCACAGCAGAGAGCTGGATCAGAAGAGGAACAGCTGGGATATGGTGCTGAAGGCTGAGGCTTACCCCGCTATGCCACAGCAGCGGCCGAATTTCTTTATTATTTGAAGTGGTTTTAGTTTTCTGTCACTTGGCAACCAACTGGTTTCTGATACACTGAGCTTATAAACAATGGAGCTGTAACTCACATCCAAGAGTTTCTAGTTCCAAAATCCGCGCCATTTCTACCCTCCTGTGCTTGGCTTGGATAAACCTTCTTTGGATAGATTTACAGGATCTGGGCGCTGGAACCATCCCGTGAGACTGTCCTGTTGGCCTCTGATGCTGTGAACGAGGAAAGGGAGGCCAGGACGGGAGAAGTAGCTTGTCCAAGTCCATCAGGGTTTGAGGCCAAGGTCGGAAGACCCTGTGCATCGCTCTTCCTCCCTCCATCCTGGCACCTTTATTCTTCTCCTGCGCACTGATCTGGGATCCACAGTCGTGGCCTGCAGATCCACAGATTGTAGATTCGGGAGGCCGGCAAACTTCTGGGGCAGCAGCTGTCTGGAGCTTGCTTGTGAATTCTCCCCTTTGTTTTGTAGTCAACAGAAGGACCAAATGGCTGGGGACAAGTAGCTGCAGATGTACAGTGTCTTCTCAGTTTCTGGAGAAATTGAGGACAGCAGGGCAGGAAGTGGGGGAAGAAAAGGACAAAGAGGAAACAGGTGCCCAGGGGAGGCCATCCAAAACCCAAGGAGCATGGTGGACAGAGGAGAAGAACCTTTATTTGTCTCCTCCTTAAATACAGTGAAATCAGTACAGAATGCACCGGCCAAGCACTGTTACATACCCGTGTACCTCTAAGGCCCCTTAATAGTGCTTTAGAACGTAACTCACTGCTCAGTACGTTTGACAAGTGGCCCATCAGTGGAAGAGAAGTATTGTATTAAGTAATTTTAGATGAATTTCAAGAGAGAAGTATTTTAGATTTTTAGTTTTTCTCTTGGTAGCTGAGCCATGACTGCTTCTCATTTTCCTGTTAGGCAATGAAGTTCCCTTGCCCTGCAGTAGCAGCTCTAACACAGAAGTAGCAAAAATTAACAGGTACCCGTGAGTGCACTTCACGTGTGATAGGCCGAAGAATGGCTCTCCAGAGAGGTCTGCATGCTAAGCCTTGGGACCTGTGGGTGTGCTCCCTAACCTAGCAGAAGGGGCTTGGTGAGTGCGCTAAGTTAAATGTTGGAAGATGGGGAGATCGAGCTGTGTTACTGAGGTGGGTCCAGTGAAGTCACAAGGCCCTTATACGTGGAGGAAGGAGGCAGAGAGCCAGAGTTGTAGGGGACGTGGTGACAGAAGCCCAGGAGACAGAGGGTGGAGTCATGTGGTTGCTGGGATTGGAACATGCTTCAAGGGATGCGAAAAATCCCTAGCAGCTGGAGAAGGAAAGAAATGGACTCTCCCCCGGAGTCTCCAGAGGAATCCAGCCCTACAGCCACACTGGTCTCAGCTGAGCGAGGCTCATTTAGAACTTTGGCTTCCAGGTCTGCACAGCAGAGGATACAGGAATTGGCTGCGGCAGCACACAGACACTAGTCGGGACCCATGCTCCATGTTCCAAATGTCGATCTTGCTTGATTCTTGTCAGGGCTTCACTTGATTTGTTTATTAAGTGTTTAAAAAGTTACTTGAAAGGCAGAGAGAGAGAGACTGGTAACTGCTGGTTCACTCCCTAAATGCCTGCAGGAGCCAGGATTGGGCCAGATGGAAATCAGGATCCAAGAACCCAAACTGGGTCTTGCAGATGGGTGGCAGCTGTTGCCTGCTTCCTCCCAGGGTGCACACGAGTGGGAAGCTGGAGTCAGAAGCAGGGCTGGGACTTGATCTCAGGCACTCTCCTATGGGATGCAGGTGTCCCAAGTGGTGGCTTCGCTGCTGTACCGGTTGCCCACCCCAGTCTTTCATTTTGGAGATTACAAAGTACTGTTCAGAGAGGTAAGTTAATATGTCCAAGCTCACTTCATTGCTGAAGTGGCTAAGACAGAATTTTTGTTTTTTAAAGATTTATTTTATTTACTTGAAAGACAGAGTTACAGAGAGAGAGGTCTTCCATCTGCTGGTTCACTCCCCAGTTGGCCAAAATGGCTGGAGCTGCGCCAATCTGAAGCCAGAAACTAGGAGCTTCTTCTGAGTCTCCCACGCGGGTGCAGGGGCCCAAGGACTTAGGCCATCTTCCACTGCTCTCTCAGGCCACAGCAGAGAGCTGGATTGGAAGTGGAGCAGCCAGGTCTTGAAACAGTGCCCATATGGGATGCCGGCACTTCAGGCCACGGCATTAACCCACTGCACCACAACACCGGCCCCTAACTAAGAATTTGAAC